GCTTTATGGAGCTATAATGAACTCGAACTGACCAATCACAGCGCGCGCAATTACTCGAACATTTTATAAACGTCATTCGTGGATGCCATTAAAATATTCAGTTTTCCTTTTCAATATCAATCAATGCTCACTTTTAGTATGCAGTGAACAAGCCACTCGCCGAAAATAAAATGGAGTCTTATTATTAAAGCGCGTATATGAATGGGATTTGATTGTATTTTGAAACATGAGTTTTTAGCAACCGTAAATGTTACATAAATGCATTATTTTAGGTCTACTCTGCCATGAAATGACGTTATTAAAACGTGATATAAGACTACATGAAAGGTGAAAAAAAAGAAAAACTCTCAGCTAGAAATTTCATGTTTATATTGTTCCTACTGTAGCTATAAGATGCCTGTCACTTCCAGTTCCAACAAATGGAGTCAAGACTGGCTGTAGCGACATCACATCGGAACCTTATGATACACATTGCAGCTTTTCATGTAATGTCGGCTACAATCTGACTGGCTCACCAGTAAGGCGATGCCTGGAAAACGGGTCTTGGAGTGGACAAACGTCATATTGCCAAGGTTTGATATATATTTTATAAAACCAAGCGGAAATTAGAAGAGAAACATTCATACCATTTTTACAGTATAAACGAGTAAGAGACGTTCCCAAAGCTAATGTGTAATATCTTTGTTATTTTATTTTTCGTTAGTTGTAAGATGTCCAACTCTTCCAGGTCCAACAAACGGAGTTAAGACCGGCTGCACTGACTTGGTATCGGAACCTTACAATACTCAATGTAATTTTTCTTGCAATGATGGCTACTACTTAAATGGTTCGTCGGTTAGGCAGTGCCGGGAAAGCGGGACTTGGAGTGGAGAATCGCCTATTTGTCAAGGTAAGAGGCGAAACATACATCGTTGATATTCAAAATGAAACCTCGTTTAAGTTAATCTGCCGCCAATAAAGCATGACACCAAAACCTGATTATATGAAAGAGTGACAAAACTTTTGTTAGAAGGAAAATATGTGGCCACAGTAAAGATGCATGGCATGACCTCTGCTACTTGACAGAGTTTTTCGTATTATTTTGGTAACTTTTTTTCGTACAATTTTTGACCAATTAGGCATCTTTTTGAAGACGTTTGACTAACTTTAGCATTATTTTGACAACTTCCTAATGACTTTTGGTAGCTAGCAGATGAGACAAATTTGCATGGCTACTGACCTCATGTAGTCGTTGCCCAATTGCGTAGCAAATACACTGTAGTCTGGAGAAGAGCCTATCAAAAACGATAATTCCACGAATAAGACATACATGGATGAATATGATAATATAATGGTCAATTTGTCTTCTTCGTTAATGAAGAGCTCATCCGCATTACAGACATTCTTCCTCCGACGTTCAATGCGACATGTCCATCAAGTCCGTTAGTAGTGTATGCAGAACGAGGTCTGTTCTCAGCAGAAGTTAACTGGACCGAGCCAGTTGCTACTGACAACTCAGGAGTTCTGCTTACCATGTCATCAAATCACAAACCGTTTGAAAGATTCAGCCAGGGAACTCACGTAATCACATACACTACCGCTGACCAGTCAGGAAACAAGGCTACTTGCACCTTTACTATTGATGTCAGAGGTAAAAATGATACCAATTTTTTTCAGTTAACTCATATGCATGTGTGTATATAAAAGCATAAACATCATTTACAAGGACTACTGCAGACCATGCATATATACTCGCCAGTTTTATGTTTGTAGTGGCGGTTTAGTAAACATGCAAGTTAAGCTAAGATATGGGAATAGAAGAAGTGCTCCTAACTAAGACAAGAAATGATGCTAATATGTTTGTCGTATATTTCAACAGTGATCAATTGCACCTCGTTGACAGTGAATCCAGGACTTGCACTGCGTATGGGCATGTGTGGCAATCATTTTGGATCAACATGTAACTTTTCTTGTACGATTGGTTATCGTTTGAATGGATCATCAACGGTGACTTGTGTTGCCCCCGGTAACAAACCTCCAGGATACTGGGACAATCCTTTGCCCAGCTGCGAAGGTGCGCGAAAAACAATATAACTTCGAAGAATTCAAGAAATATATATTTTTGAATGTTACAATATGTAGATTTCTGTTTCGTCATGTGTTGTCATTTCAACTACTTTGAATCAAAAAGTCATAAACAACTTACCCCTGCGTCTTTCGCGAATGGCGTTTATTTTTTCTACTCTAAAAACAATCAATGTTGACTTTTAGCCTGTAACGAACAATTATAAACGCCGTCCCCCATAATAGCGAGTATTTGAAGAGGATTTTACAGTATTTCTTAACACAAAAGTTGTTAGCAATTTGTTACTGTTGCATTTTTTACGTTCATTCTGTTGTCAAATGACGTTATTAATGTTGTGTCTCGCGGAATTGAATGAATCAAACTGGTACAACACAACAAGGTTTAATCAAACATGGCGGTTCATATTCAACAACAGGCGCACATGGCATGCGTGCGCATAATAGTAACAAAACCGCATAACCATGTGCAACATAGCATTCCTCCCCCCCTTAAATCACAATCTTTTAATAACGCACAAGTTCACTGCAGTTACAAGTTCAGTCTCTCTGGTGGCTTCCGTAGCCGAAGGGGATAACGTCTGCATG